CTAAATCGATCCCCAAGAAGTTTCGCATGCCCGAAATTCCTAAATATAATGGAACGACCGACCCCAATGAACATGTCACCTCTTACACATGTGCCATTAAAGGGAACGATCTAGAAGACGATGAGATTGAATCCGTACTGTTGAAGAAATTTGGGGAAACCCTGTCAAAGGGGGCAATGATATGGTATCATAATTTACCACCTAACTCTATCGATTCTTTTGCTATGCTTACAGATTCTTGCACAAAAGCACACACCAGAGCCATAAAGGTCGAGATCAGGAAGTCTGACCTTTTCAAGGTAAGGCAAAAATATAACGAGATGCTAAGAGAGTTTGTATCTCGTTTTCAAACGGAACGAATGGAAATACCACCGGTCACAGACGGTTGGGTTGTTCAAGCTTTCACCCAAGGATTGAACGAAAGAAGCTCGATGGCTTCACGACAGTTGAAGCAAAATTTGATCAAGTACCCGGCTATTACCTGGGCCGACGTACATAATCGATATCAATTGAAGATTAGAGTTGAAGACGACTAGTTGGGTTCTGGGTCCATTAATAAAAGGGACATCGACCAAGAACCAAGTTCGAACAAGAACCGATATCGGCCGTATAGCGGAGATCGTAGGGGTAGCAAACCTACACGCAACTCCGTACGAGGTGAAAAGAGAAGTGATCGAGGCCAAGGGTCTCGGGGGCCGATGAACAAGAATGGGTTCGACAAGCATACTGCACCTAAGGAAGCACCACAGTTATCAGAATATAACTTCAACATTAATGCATCCGCCCTCGTGTCGGCTATCGGACGCATGAAGGATACTAAGTGGCCTCGACCTCTGTAGTCTGATCCAGCCTAGAGAAATCCCAATCAAATGTGCAAGTATCATGGCACCCATGGCCACAGAACTGAAGACTGCAGGCAGTTGAAAGGGGAGGTAGCCCGGTTATTCAATGAAGGGAACCTTCGAGAATTTTTAAGTGACTCGGTCAAAAACCATTTCAAAAACAGAAATTTCAATAGACAAAACAAACAAGAAAAGCCACAACACATCATCCACATGATCATCGGAGGGATCGATGTCCCCAGGGGCCGGTGATTAAACGCACTAAAATATCTATTGTAAGAGAAAAGCGACCTCAGACTCAGGATTACACACCTAAAGTAACCTTGTCCTTTAATGACAAAGACGCGGAAGGAGTTATGCAACCCCATAATGATGTACCGGTAATATCTGTACTTATGAATAAAACTCAAATTAAGTGTGTGTTAATTGATCCAGGTAGTTCGGCCAACATTATTCGATTAAGGGTCGTAGAGCAACTCGGTCTACAGGACCAGGTCATGCCCGTAACCTTGGTACTAAACAGATTCAATATGAAATATGAAACTACTAAGGGCGAGATAATTTTGCCAGTGAACGTGGCCGGGACCATCCAAGAAACAAAGTTCCACGTGATCGACGACGATATGAGATATAACGCCCTGTTCGGGAGGCCATGGATCCACAACATGAGAGTAGTTCCCTCGACCCTTCACTAGGTTCTGAAATTCCCAACATCAGAGGGAATCAAAACGGTCTATAGGGAGCAACCGGCCGCAAAGGAAATATTTGCCATCGATGAAGTGATTCTGATATCTTCACTATCATCGACAAAAGGATCAGATTCGAAGGAGGAACTGGATACCAAATAGCAATAACAAACGTCAGCCTCAACCCAACTAGAGAATCAAAAGATTGATAAAGATGATGACTATGGGGTCCCTCGATCCTCCATGGTCCCCGATGATTCTGACGCTACCAAATCAACGGTCGAAGAACTGGAGCAAATCACGCTAATCGAACATAAGCCCGAACGAAAGGTATACCTGGGCACGTGGTTAGATCCCAAGCTTAGGAAAAAGCTTATTCAATTTCTTATAGCTAACATGAACTATTTCGCTTGGTCCCATCTTCACCCGACAGGTATCCCACCGGAAATAACCACTCATAGACTAAGCTTGGATCTGAAATTCCATCCGATAAAGCAAAAAAGAAGGCTCCAATCCGAGGTCAAACATGCCTTCATCAAGGACGAGGTGACTAAACTTCTTAAAATAGGATTCATTCGAGAAGTAAAATACCCCGAATGGCTAGCAAATGTGGTGGTAGTACCTAAAAATGGAAACAAATTTAGAATATATATATATATATATATATATATATATATATATATATAGATTAAAAATACCTGAACAAATCATGCCCAAAGGATTCTTTTCCTTTGCCTAATATCGATCGTATGATCGATGCCACGGCCAGCCACGAGACTCTCAGTTTTCTCGATGCCTACTCCGGGTACAACCAGATACAGATGAACCCGGAAGATCAGGAAAAGACCTCGTTTATCACTAAGTACGGTACCTATTGTTATAACGGAATGCCATTCGATCTAAAAAATACTGGTGCAACTTATCAATGCCTAGTAAATTGAATGTTCGAAAAACAAATAGGGAAATCAATAAAAGTTTATATTGGTGACATGTTAGTTAAGTCCCTATGAGCAGAGGACCATTTAAAGCATTTGCAGGAAACTTTTGACATACTGATGGAGTACAATATGATGCTCAACCCCAAAAAATGTGCATTCAGGGTTGGCTCGGGCAAGTTTCTTGGTTTCATGGTGTCCAATCGAGGAATCAAGATCAACCCTGATAAAATCAAAGCTATCGAGGATATCACGGTAGTAGATAATGTAAAGGCCGTGCAGAGGCTAACAGGGCGGATAGCCGCCCTAGGATGATTCATTCCGAGATCCTCAAAGAGGAGCCACCAAGTTTTCTCACTACTTAAGAAGAAAAGCAACTTCGCATGGACTCTGGAATGCTAGCAGGCTTTGGAAGAACTAAAATGGTATTTATCGAGCTCATCGCTGCTTCATACCCTGCAAGTGGACGAACAACTTTACCTGTACTTAGCTATCTCGGAGATAGCAGTAAGTGGAGTTCTGGATCGAGAAGAACGAGGTACACAATTCCCTATTTATTAAGTCAGTCGGACCTTAGGCAAGGCCGAAACTAGATATCCACACTTGGATAAATTAACACTTGCTTTAATAAGCGCCTTTAGAAAATTGAAACCATATTTCCAGTGTCATCCGATACATGTTGTAACAAATTATCCTCTTCAAAATATTTTGCACAAACCCGAACTTTCGGGTCGATTGGCGAAATGGGCTATAGAAATCGGCGGGTACGATATTGAGTATCGACCCCGAACCTCTATCAAATCTCAAACTTGGCGAACTTCGTGGCTGACTTTACGCCGGCCTTTGTACCCGATATTGAAAAAGAAATATTGATAAAATCGGGTACCTCTTC